AAAAGATAGACACTTCAAGCCAATGGCACTTGTTGCAGGGGGAGGGGTTAGAATCAGCTGTGTCAGTGTGACTCCACGCGTTCAGTGGATGGAGTTGGCTTCCGCTCTGACTTGAAGGAGGGAACACAACAAGTTACTGGCTTTAAAATTTTTGCAGCGAAACAAAGCGATAAGTATTGAGCATGAATCTCGTGAGAATGTTGTGAATGCCAAGCTGGGTGAAAAGGGGGGGGGGGGAGAAAATAGAATGCTGTAGTCCCTTGGAAAGAAGTTTCACAGAAATATTCTGACAGCTTCACTACCCCCCCCCCCCCCCCCCCGCAGTCAGAGACACTTGCTAACATTAGCAGTGACTCTACTTTGTTGACAGTCTTACAATGACATGTGTACATCAACTGTGACATAGATTTTCCAATGCTTACTGGATTGATATTATGTTCGTTGCAACCAACCTTCCGTCATTTTTTCCTTTCTCTTTTTCTCTTGTATCTACTTTTTTTTTTTTTTTTTTTCTTTTTCTTTTTTTCTCCACAATATCCTTTAACATGTTATTCACAGTGGGTCCAATGTTATTAGGCATTTTGCCTGTTTTGATTTTCCACTATAAATAAAGTATACAACAACAACAACAACTGTGTGGCGAGCATCTTCTTCAGCCACATTCAGCTCATTCAGCTCATTCAGCCACATTCAGCCACATTCAGCACATTCAGCTCTAATAGACACACATTCTCTACCGCAACCTAGGAGTTCGTTGCAGCGGCTCGGCCTGCGCGTTGCAAGGAAATACAGAGTTGCAAGTATGCAATCTACATACATCAGTACCCCATGGGCACATGGCATACAGCGTATACTCTTGTCAATACCTACATGTATTTTAATACCAAGCAAAACTACTGCTTTGCAGTACAGTTCGGGAAGTCTTGTCAATTTACATGGTTGTACATGTACATGTAATATCTGAACACACAAGCCCGCCTACTAGTACTACAGAACTTGACACTTTCTTTGTTGCCTTGCCATTTGAGCACACGCTCGACGGCTCATTGTCAAGGAATAATAATTGCTGAAAGTTCATGTTAGTCACAGATAGGATCACATTTCAGGCGGCCTCCTCTAGGCGTCACGTCAATGCACCCCTCATGCCAGTAGCTGGTCAATCTACACAGGAAGAGCCGCCCAGGAAAGGAAAAGATTGAATTACTAAGTCTTGATGTTGTTCACACGTTATCACTATCGTGTTTGTCATACAATTATGTACTGTAGCTACGTGTACATGTACAATGTATGTGGAGAGCATTAGTACTAGAAAGTAGAAGGCTAGAAGTCATGCACACTGTCATGTATCATGACTTGTACATTGCAGATGGCAATGAGTTCAAACAAGAGTGGGCTATGACCAGTGTACTCTTGCTACAACGATGTGCAATGCTGCAATCTTACAATTATAAGTGCACGTCATTGTAACTGGTGTGTTGTCCAACCTAAGATCGATCAAGATAAAAATAACTGTACGTTTCAACACTACATGAATCACACAACTACGTGGCCTTATTAGCCAAGCCGTTTAACGTGAAGTCGGGTTGTGCGCCGGTGTGTTCCACGAAGGGAACAGAATCGCATGATTGTGGTCTCCGGAAGAATGTAAAACATGTTGAAGACGTTCTATGAGCGATTGGCCTTAACCGGAAGATGTAGGTGTTGCCGCTTGCAGAACGTTCCCCAACTTTCACAAGGAGACGGAGCAAAAACAATCTTGTGCTACTGTACATGCACATGAATGCTGTACATCAGTGGAGAAATCCATTGTAGAGTTTCAACTCGACAGTGCCTGGCCGGTATCAGTGCATTGTACTATACGTTCTCAACTTCACTTCCAACCCATATCATGGTTATAAGTTACAATGTACCTGACTGTAATCCCATCATGCATACCGGTACAATCACCGTTGCATGGTGCTCTGCAGCACAAGAATCCACTCCCTCTTCTGTAGTCGGCCTTCCTGTGCGTTTGAAGGATTTCTTTCAGAACAGCATCTGAGTTGAGGTATACACCAATCCCCACAGACATTATTCCCATGAAGATGTACCGGTCCCATAGCTCAGATAGTTAGAGCGTTGCTCATGACAAGCAAGGCCCTGGGTTCGAGTCCTGGTGAGTTTTGCATTTTTTCTCTGTTCAGGCAGTTCGCTTCCCCGACTGATCCTTCCCCGACTGATCCTTCCCCGACGGATCCTTTGAATTTGAAATTAATTCTCCCAATCCTTTCAAAATGGCAATGCCTCGGGTTGTCCAAGGTAAATTCTCTGACCAGTTATTTGGGCATGGACGAAGAGCCGTTTCTTGTCCTGTTCATCTTCCATCCAGTGTCCATGGCCAGGGAGTCGTCAAATACCGGTACATGACGACTCCCTGTCCATGGCATGCGTACAGTTTCTCCCGAATCATGATGGTCGTGACTGGGGATCACATGATGGTCGTGACTGGGGATCAGCCGCGAGGGAGCAGCATCATGTACTTGTACATGCAATGGTCGGGGCGGTAGGAACTAAAACAAGTATTTCCAGCATTTGTAGTTACAGAAGGGTCCTGACCTCCCCCACGCCGTCGCTGTGGAGATCCTCCTGCTTCCTGGCCTGCTGTGTGCAAGCATCCCCCTAGACTCTTGGGTGATGCAAACTGTACTCATTCCTCAGATTTTCACGCAGGACCAAAGCGGCCTGGTGGCGAAATGCACACAAAGTCACATACATTCTACAGTGACACATAGTCACACAAAGACTTTTTTAAGTCATGCATGTCAATAACATTTCAAGTACACGGCAGCTGACCTTGGACGCTAGCCACAGTATAACGTGAAAATGACGCCATTTCCAGCGGCAGTGGAGACAAAGCAAGAACAAAAAGATTGCGAACAGGTACGCCGTGATGTCAGCGTTGAAAGAACCAGTTACAGGGAGGTCAACTCAGAGAGTAGAAAGCCGCCGTCGGCTTTTCAGACGTTGCGTTTCCTTACATTGAGCGGAGGTACTTTACTTTCTCAGCTTGATGACAATTCAAAATGGCATTTCCTTGTCAGATAACAGCGTCTCATGGCTGGCTCACTACCATTTTTTCCGTGGCCACCGATCCCCGTATCAATCATGTCACCTGGGCAGCTGCTAAAACTGAAAAGACAACATCAGCTGAGAAAGCTGGCCATTTCCCCTCTTGTCCAGTGTTGTGATTGAAGTGAAATCTGTAAGTATTCCATTGGTTTCTTCACAGCTGCTGGGCATCGCCTGCATGCATGGGCGTGAGGGTAATAGCAATTGCAGCCACCAATACCGGCAATAGTCGATACGGGTGTTAAACTGGGTATGGTGTGACTGTCAATTATGTTGTCAAGTCAGTGGTCGCTGCGTGAAGCCGTTCATGGCCGCGTCAGGCTGTGGTGCGACGTGTCTACCGCAGTGTTTGCCAACACTGTTTCTGCGTGGCTTGCACTCGGACTCGGAGCGCGGTAGCCACTCCACGTAAGATACTCTTGTGACTAACTTGTAGAATATCTACCTTCGTTCCCAAGGTATATTCATGAACATTCCGACACGCGGATTTGATTGTCTTTTAGTGTGTGAAACTATGCTAACATACAATGGACAAGGACCATCGAATACTGCAGTGACCGGACTACCATGCAAAGACTGTGTGCGTGTGTGGGTGTGCTGGTGATAAGAGAAAATCTGTGCCAGTGGGTGTACATCCAATGCATTTGCGGCCTTCTCCTAATCGGTGATGGAGCCTACCTCCCTAGCCTGGTCGTCCACAGAATGGTCGGAGCACTTTGCCTTCTGTACAAGCTCCCCCTTTCCACTGGCCCAGAAAAATGCTCCTCGCCCTTCTTCCACCCCGGCCTACCAGTACATCATGCTATAGCCGATGCACACAACAGCATCCCTCACGCCAGTTTCAGTTCGCTTCCACTCTTCCCCTCTGAGCACGCAATGACGCCCTGCGGTCCTTCCCTGAGGCTGCTGTGGAGGTCTGGAACCAGCTCCCGCGGTGCGTTCTACTGAACCCGCCGACAAGGAAATGACTGCAGACGTTCAAAGAGAAGGCCAACACCCACCTACGCCTTACCCGCTGGGAGTGGGCAACGAACAGGCTAAAGGAAAAAGACGAAAAAACGATCTAATTCTATTCCTCCTTCATTCACTTCGTGACTCTCCAATATTGTGCATAAGACGACCACCGCTCAATGGACTTTCAAAGTATGGTCTCTGTTACCAGGTGGTCTCCTTATCCAGTGCCATTTGAGTGGAAATAGCATCCCTTGTTCCTGGCTGCAGTGGTCTTCTGGGACAGGTGGTCGCCTTATCCGAGTGGTCACCTTGACAGGTTTTACTGTCCTTTGCCCCGTAATCCCCTGGAATCTACCATCTCTCCCCCCCCCCCCCTGCGTTTTTCTGTAATCTTTTCTTTCTGTGGAGCGCTCGGGTTGCAATGAAGCTGAGGCCGAGACCCTAGCCTATGGTCGGCAAAGATTCCCCTGCCTCTCCCCCACTTCTGCCAATCCATACATGCATGTCTCATCACTACCTTGCTGATTTTTGCCGTCAAATAGTGTGTGTGTGTTTGTTTGTAAAAAAATGCAGATTTGTGTGCTTCTCTTGCGACGGGAGTACTGTTGTACATGGCGTTGGTGCGTAAGGGATGGTGTAAGGAGGGCGCGGGGGGGGGGGGGCTTTTAAAACAGACTGGTGTGCAGCGGACTCAGTCTTACAACTTGTAGAAAAAAGTTGGTAGTCCCCTAAACATACAGTGAATTTAAAACTGTTGCAACGCTGATATAGCTGATATCTGCCCAGCGGACATGCTTGGAAACTAGGCTGTGAGCTGAGGGCACTGTACGTTGTGTGCACCACTGAGGGGTGGTGAACCAGGTGAACGGGACACCGGCATTCGAGGGACACCCCTCGCCCACTCCCCCCCCCCCCTCCCTACACATACGCACAGTGCATGAGTGGCAATAGAGCATCAGAATCTTACAACTTAGTTAGTGACTATGCTATCGTTACTTTGCGTTTCTATCCATATTTAAAGTAGAGTTAGTGTTTGAGCCTTTAGTTGAAACGTTAACATTTACTTATCCAGGCTATAGGCGGCGATAACATTAATGTTGAGCTCTAGACTGTCAATGGTGTGACGATAGGACTGGTATTAATCTGATGCAGCTCATTCCTCATTCCATAGAAAGCCCGGCGAAAGAATAATTCTCAATCAGTCAGAGTTGACCTGCACAAAGATCTGCATGACTGATTGTGACTGGAGAATCAGGACATTGAAGACTGCATACTGCACGTGTACGTGATGTTGCAGTGTATATTGGATCATGGGTATAATAGTTGGAGAGACGTATGAGTAGGATTGATTGTTCAACGATATAACTTACGGAAAATGGTCAGGAAAATCAAGATTATATTATTCGAGCGGTACCAAGCTGAACTCAACATCTCTCAAGAAGGAAATTGCACGTAGAAATAAGGAAAATGTTTCAACGGTATTGCACAGGATTGTCAGATTAAATCCATATGACGATTCGAGTATTGCTACCACAGGTGTCCGAAAGGCACAAACCTCCCGTTGCGGCAGATGGTTTTCATTTCTCGTAATCTCTTGAGTACTCGTCTTGCTTTCCTGTTGTACACCGCTACTAGACTGTGCTCGGTAAACACAGGTCGGCCGTCATGCAGCGTGGTGAAGAAGAGATACTGCTCTCCTCTGTGCAAGTATTTGATACAGTCACAGTCGGACACGTGGTAGCTAACTGGCATGGCCACGCTCTCCGTGAAGTGTTTCTTCTCGTCCTTGGCGCCGTTCTTGAGTCCGCGGTACTGTCTCTCCACTGCTAGCATGACGCCTGTTCCCGGGTCCAGAGGACTGTATTCACTGGTCACGTTGGCACGAATTACTACGAACATAATACACACACAGGACAGAGGACACACAGGCATTCGTAATAATAATAATATACATGTATGTCTCATCTGCGCAGCATGGTCCTCTAACATCGCTCTCGTCGTTATCAACTACATTATTGTATGTATTGCTGGGGGAGATGTAGATAGAGATAGATAGAGAGAGAGAGAGAGAGAGAGAGAGAGAGAGAGAGAGAGAGAGAGAGAGAGAGAGAGAGAGAGAGAGAGAGAGAGAGAGAGAGAGAGAGGAAGAAAGAGCGAGGAGGAGGAGGAAGAAGAGGATAAGGGGAAGGAGGACAAGACAAGTGTCACATGGTGTATGAGATACTTCGAAGTACTGTATTATAAGTTCAAGTACTTGAAAACAGTGGAAGCAGCTCAAACCAGGTAGGAACGCATTCCATCTCAAATTGGTTGGCAGATTCCAGTTTAGTGGGGTTCAAGTGTCCTTACTGTAATCAGAGCTGCACAGACTCTGGCGAATGTCTCTGCCTTGCCTCCTCCTGAGACCGCACACTCGCTCACACTCTGCAGCACAACACAGGCATGCAACAGCAACCAGAAGAGAGAGGAACCCAGTCATTTACACAATCAATTGACAAAACGGTTGCAGCAGTAGTCCAGCCAGATCTGCCTTTGCACAAGTCAGTGATCCCTTGATAGGTAGCAGTGCATGGTAAAGAAACCCGAGAGTCGAAGAGCTAGCTGTTCAACAACAGTTTGTTCCTGATTTTCGACCCACCTACTTGTACTTGTCACCAGTTAGTCGTGTACATTGTACCTGGTACATGTACTAGTTCCGCAAAGAACTTCGAGTAGTCACGGGCAGAGGAAGGATTTGGATGGGAGCTTGAAGGTAGAAGAGGGGATGGGACATCAGGGACTAAGGGTCATACTACTCCAAAGACTACATCATTACATGTAGACCCACAGGTGCCCAGTACCAAGACAAAGAAGAGGAAATGAATCACGGTGCTGCTGTCAGTGGCAAACGAGGTACAAGTAAGTAGTACATGTACAGGATAGGCATACTCATGATCCTCAGAGACTCAGTGCCTGTAATGACATTATGTAAGTAGACTTGTTCCTCGTTTTCATATTGCGTGTGTGCACTGGCGTCACAGCTGCGCATAACAGGGCAGGTGTAGTCTGCTATGTACAAGTCACCTTTCAGAACTATGCTTGCCATCATGAGGGAAATGCTTTACTGCCACTACTGGTTTACTGGTTTACTGGTTTTGCTGCTCACCAAATCACTACAGTGAAACCTGTCTAAGACGACCGCTCAACGGACCTTCAAAACGTGGTCTCTGTTACCAGGTGGTCGCCTTATCCAGGGTCATTTGACTGGAAATAGCATCCCTTAGTCCTGGTTTCAGTGGTCTTCTAGGACATGTGGTCGCCTTATCCGAGCGGTCGCCTTGACAGGTTTTACTGTACATGCAATTAAGTGTGTAGATGGTTGTAGGATGTCAGTGTGAGTGTGTTAGTACTGGACCGTGCAGTAACGAAGATTGGTAATACAGTACACATTGTGCTAGCCAGGGCCTAGGGAGTATCGTACTACTCCCTGAGTCCCTGGTGCTAACAACATGTTTGTGGTGTGTTGAGCTGATGTTCCCATTTCAACAGAGCCGCTGACTATGCCAGTCAGAACCTGGTACCTGTGCAAGTAAGTTGTAACGAGCCTCAATGTGACCTCCACTCTAGAACGACTTGCCCCTGCGTAGGAGCCAGCTGGAACAGGGGAACGTGGCCACAGGAAGCCAGGGGTCTTGCTCACGACACTTTGCGCTTAATTAGCGTTCCTAACCCCCCTCCTCTATCTGAACTTAGCACGGAGCACGGCAATTATTCGTGACGCTCACCTGGTTGATGTTGCACTTGTGTCATCTGTTGTCTTCCTGCAGGGCAAGAAAGACAAGCACACACACATACACACTCTTCATCATTCACACCGAATAACAACCTACATCATGAACTGTTACAAGTGCTCGCTACTAACGGTTTGTAACTGGCATTGGAAACGGTTAAACGTGCTGGTATTTTAAGAATAGGAATCCCTGTAACAAGTACACTGTCATGGACTGAACAACCTCCTTCCTGGTACGGTGGTCCACACACCAACAACGACACGGTCCAGGCTTCTAGGTCGTGATGGTGCAACACACGGTACAAGACCCATCCAATCAGAAGACTAGTTAGTTCAGACTCGGTGCTGCATGTACGTTTAGGCATCTCTCGCACCCCCAGAAGCCCATGTCTGCGAGACTGCGACGACACGTGTATCGTGCTCTGTTTGTAGTGGGGAGCAGAACTGCCAAGGACACTCCTATCATGTATACATAAACCCATGAAGTATGCTACTCGTAATCATCACGAGCTTGCCAAGGTTGTTTGCAACACCAGTTTATGGTTCACTGTTCCGGTACTGGCTTAGTGATGTGGCTCTGTTACATTGTGGAGTGCTTGTTTATTGCTGAAAGGCGACGGAGAGGACAAATCCCGTGACAATTGGCATATGTTGTTACTGATGGTGTTGATTTCTCCTCACTCTTCGAGATGAGTAACATATCTGTGAAAGTATCCTACAGTCCGCAGGAATGCGTTGAAGTTATACCAACTTCGCTGTGTATACATCCTCCTAGAGCCGTAATGTGCAAACGGAGAGGACAAATCCCGTGACAAGTTGCATAATTATGTTGTTACTGATGGTGTTGATTTCTCCTCACTCTTCGAGATGAGTAACATATCTGTGAAAGTATCCTACAGTCCGCAGGAATGCGTTGAAGCTGCTTATACCAACTTCATTGTGTATATCCTCGTAGAGCCGTAATGTGCAAGCAGTGCCCTGCAGTAAAACTCTCTTGACCCACATTCTCGAAAACACTCTGGATTCTCACCCTGTCTCTTGTGTCGCGAAGCAATGAATTTAATGATGTAAGGGGATATCTAGAGAGTGAATGTCAATATCAAGTGAATGTACCTATTACTAGAGGAAGCAGGCACTTGATCTACCCTACATGCACTATAATTCAGTTCAACAGCTTACGTTACAATCAGGTCACATTCCGGTTTAGTTTCGGATTCGAAACCTATGAGTCGTGCGTCTCTGATAACAATACTAGTAGTCAAAACAATTTTATAGGTGATTCTTTGACCTCACGTGACGAGAAAAGGTGCAGGCGGTGCTGTGTTTACGACTATGCACCAAACCCAGACAAGGTAACGTCCATTCGGATACCATTCACAGTACTGCATGCGTTGATTCGAATACTTTTGAAGTACATGTACGTGTAGTCTTTTAAAAGCTGACCACCGCTAGGAACGTCACAATCCACGCATCAGGCATGATGAGTATGGGGTCACTCTGTTACTTAGTGTTAGACATCAGCTTAGACTTAGATTAAGACGCGTGGCCAGTAAACCTATCCAAATATACATGTAGGAAGCTTTATATATATATTTCGCTCCTGCTCTTGTAGCAGTTGAGCACTCTTGCGTGGGGTAGTGCCTTTGCTGTTTGCGTTATGCAGAGCTCACTGACTTGTCAGTTTGAGCACTCTGGCAAGGTACGTTCGGGCCTGATTGGAAATTTTTATTTCCATTGCTATCAGGTTCGGCCTCATTTCCTCTGTGCTGCGCTGATGAGTTCAAAAAGAACGAAACAGCTTGCTGTCCGCAGATTGAGTGTAGGAAGCTTTACATAATCTCCAAGATGGTGGAGGCTGCCAAGTAGGTTGTTACTGACACTGCCAGCGTAGGATTGTGCATGTACTATGACGTACACAACCTTGTGCAGACTTACTTCTAGGACATTGGCGCACAAGTCTTAGCATGGTTTGTCCTGGCCCGAACAGCGGTACCGTTCGCCGTACTCCTTTGTAGAAGCGAAACTCCATATTGATCATGACGTGGTGCTCATCCGCATCAGGATTACATGGGAAATGGATACTGAAATCTGCAACCACAACGAGATGATTTATATAAGTATATTGATCAGAAAAGAAAATCAAATGCGTTGAATTTTCTTGAGCAGTTGGCACGTCGAGCCCTGTAAAATGATTGGACATTATCACCGCCACATAGCATGCGTCATCCAATATGGGTGACCGTGGAATATTATGTATTTGCTGGAGCCAGTAGCCTGAAAACCAGCTTTGCAGACGCTGTGGTCGCTCAGTCGCACCGCCGCTGGCCTAGCTCACTGACACCAGCACCTCAGCTGAACGGCCAAGATACCTGCACAGTCTACAGTCTCCTCACCCTGTACTCCTCTTGGCGATATAGGGAGAGAGGACAGGAGAATTGCTTTCGCCCCCGTGGCTCCTCAACCCCCTGAAGCAGAACCCTGCCTACTGGTGGAATGCAATCAGGAGAGTTGAGGCAATATGTCTTCCAATCAATTGACACACACGAATGTAGTACAACTAACTGTAGCAATCGCTATGTATCACAGCAGGGCCTCCACGCACTGGGTCTAGATTCCTTCAGTCACCACTGCCTTCTGCTTGGCACTTTATTGGTCACTGTGAAAATGTACGTCCCTCCCTCGGCAATGATTACCTAAGCAATTACACAATGTACTGCTCCTAGACATCAAATAATTGGCGGAGCGAAATGAACTACAGAGCAACTTGCAAGGTGTTTCCTGTACTCCAAAAGTATGCATCCAAGACTTGTTATAAGTTTATAAGTGCATCAAATAGTTGTAGCATTAATCGTGAATATCAAGCAAAGAACGTACATGTACGTGTACAGGTGACATTCTGCAAGATCTACAGTACAGGGTGTTTTATTCTGACGATGACCGATTGGGATAAAAATAGCAACATTGGCTCGTTTCGTTCCTTTCTCTTGAACTCCGCATGCATATGGTTCAATCTGCGTTACCACCCACTAAGCCCTGCATTGTAGTAGTTAGTAGGTAGAACAGTGCCGTCGTATTACAATACAAGGGCAAATGACTGATACCAGTTTACTTAGGTGATGATGAAATGTTTGTCCAAAGTAGGGACCTTACTTACTTTGCAGGGTCTGAGGTACTTCGCCGCTCATTGGCACACCCTCCACTTTAGGCGTTGGCAGGAAGTGAGGGAATTCCGAGCTGACGATGATCTCGTAGCGGACTTTCTGCGAGGGAAAGGCGGAGCATGACAAAACACACACATTGTATTGTATTATTGTATTGTATTTATTTAAAAGGATTCTCCAAAAGCAAATGGATGCTTATCACGGAAGTCTCCCACATAAATATCGCAAGAAAAATGGGGAAATGGGGAGAGGAGAGTGGAAGATGAAGCATGGAAAGAAGGGAAACAAGTACCTAAATATCGAGGTATAAAAGCAGGAAAGAAATCGACGAGGGAAGAAATCACCTCTGCAGATAATAGCGGGACATTTAGATGAAAAAAACCCAGCAAGGATTAATTTCAAGGAAAAAAAATTTCTCAAACGGAAAAGTTCGGAATTCCAGTCACAGAATATCTATGCTGAGAGTAATGAGCCTTTAGAGCAATGCGAAAATTGACAGAGGACTGAACGCAGCGGATGTGTTCTGGAAGTTTGTTCCATTCCACAGATAAACTGAAGAGAGGGGATTTAAGGAAATGGGCGCCAGAACGAGGTAAAACTATAGAGGACGGGTGACGACAACTAAGGGATACATTGAATTTGAAACGAATTAGCAAAGACGGAAACTGGTAAAAGACATGATGAAAATACAGCAAGGACAGAATCTGACGACGCCACTTCAGGGATGACCAGTCACAAGTACGATTAAGAATCTGCTTCGGGGTTTCCCACTCAGGAGGGTGCCGGGTCTTACAAAGCAGATATGAACGAGCAGCAACGGCTTGCAGTCGGTCTAACGTAAGCGAATCTGAATGGGATACGGCGAATGACCAGACAGGGACTGCGTATTCTAACAGTGGTCGTACGTAACACTTGTAGAGCAAATTAACGGTTGAAGCAGAAAGGAAATGGGCCATATGGCGCAACAGAAAAACACGACTGCGAAACTTATGGGTGATAGATTTTATATGTTCAGAAAAATTTAGTGAAGGAGTGATAGTCACGCCGAGATGACAGTGGCTATCACCTTTCTGAATAGGCACACCGTTCATTGTCAAGGGGGATGACGGGCCGGGGGCTAATGCATATTTTTGAAAGGGTAGGTGGACGCATTTACTGGTGTTAAACGTCATGGCAGTAGCTGATGACCATTGACAACACTTATCAATGTCAGTCTGGAGCAATGCATGATGGATAGGAAGTGAGGTGTTTGCTGGAGAAACAAGAATTAAATTAGAGTCATCAGCAAAAAGGGATAGGGTACTAGACGCAGGGGCATCAGGAAAGGAGTTGATGCACAGGTTAAAAAGGAGCGGGCCGAGATGGGAACCTTGGGGTACGCCAGCGGTGATGGGCAAAGGGTCAGAAAGAGTTTGGCCAATGCGAACGCAAATACTACGATCACTGATGAAGTCCTTCACCCAAGAACAGGCAGAAAGAGAACACCAACCTGAAACAGATTGAATAACTAAATGATGACTAACTCTGTCAAAGGCCTTAGAAAAATCAAGGAACAGCTGGTCACAAGAAGACTTAGAGTCAAATGCACGCGAAACAATTGAGGTAAGCTGTACCAATTGGTCAACTGTTGACCTCTTTCGACAAAAGCCAAACTGGCTGGAACTGATAATTTTATGGCTCTCAACAAACGAGTAAAACTGACGGCTAATCATAGACTCATACAATTTGGCAACTGCATTTAACAGCGATATAGGACGGTAATTGACTGGGTGAGAAGGATTACCCTTTCCCTTGAACACAGGTACAACAACGGCAGATTTCCACTCCCTGGGCTGAGTACTGGACAGCAAGCAGCGGTTGAAAAGGGCGGAAAGAGACTGTGACGTGACCTCAGCTGTTTCACGGAGGATGCGATTGTTCAGCAGTCCAGCGGTTTTGCGTTGAATGGGAAGTCTGGATAGCGTGTCAAATACGGACTGCACAGAGAATGGTTGTATGGAGAACTTCACAGTGGACGTGGGTGTTAAAATACCAGCTGAGTGCAGGTCAGGTGTTAGCAGTGGCGCCTGGCTGTAGCTCGCAAACACTTTGGCTAGGAGATTCGTCTTTTCCGTATTACTCGTGGCTGGGTAGGCTTGGTTGTCATGGTAGAGGTCAGGGATAACCGGAGACGGGCGATTCACATTACAAAGGATCTTTGCTTTGCGCCACCATGTACGAGTTCCATGATGCTGAGCCATGTCTCTCGCCATCCTCTCGTGGTAATGGCGTTTCGCCTTCCGGAGCAAGGAAGTAAGACAGTTACGTGAGAGTCTATACGCTATCCAACTATCTGTAGATCCGAGACGTTTGGCCTTGGCGAAGAGGCGATCCCGAAGCCGCCTCTGACGATGGTGAACAGCAGAGTACCAAGGCTTGTTCGATGGAAATGTGCTTCTCCGGACAACGGGAACAAACAACGATACAGAGTCTTCCAGCGCTGTGCGCCACAATGACCAGGCCTCATCAACTGTTTGCGCATTTTGGACGGCATCTAGCAAGGGTAGTTGCCACACGTGGTTGTTAAATGCTTGCCAGTCCGTGTGGGCAAAGTCGAGCCAGGTGTTTTGTGCAGAAGATATTTGGGCTGTGGAGCCTGCTGATCGGTTGTGGACGACATCGAAAACTACAGGACAGTGATCAGATACCGGTGGGAGGATGGTGAGATGGGAGACTGCTATTGGAGCATTAGTGATAACTAGGTCGAGTAGTGAGGAACTCTTACCACTTGCGGAGTAGCGGGTAGGCTGTTGATCCACAAGTTGCGATAAGCCCAGATCATCCAGGGTGTCATACATGCATGTACCAGCAGGTGTATCAGGATCGGATGCTAGCCATTTCGAGAGGCGAGCGTTAAAGTCGCCAATGACAAATATGGAAGCTTGAGGACAAGATATTGATTGAATGCAGGTCCGGAGTGCGCTGCAGAACTGATCAGGTGGCTGCCAAGGAGGACGGTAACAACAGAACACAAACGTGGAGTTGGGGCGATGCTCTAGTTCTATGCACACAATTTCAATGGTTGGATCAGCAGGCTGAAGATCTGGACGATGTTTGGTAGCATGGGAAATGGAAGGGTGGAGGAGGAATGCCACTCCACCTCCACGTCGCACGGTATTGTTGTGACGGTCATGCCGGATAATTTTGTATTCAGCTGACGGTGTTAATATTGAACTTGTGATATCAGGAGTCAACCAGGTTTCAGTTATGCCCAAGATATCTAGTTGAGATGTGCAGAATAAGTTCTTAATCTCATCAGCCCGCTTCAGCCAGCTGCATGCGTTAACTGTGCAGATCCTGATACTCGACGGAGACTTCATATCAGGAATACAAGGTGAAAAGTTGAAAGTCAAAGGGGGCAGTTGGAATGGTGGAGCAAGAGGGTTCAGTGCGCTCACTTGCGATTGTCGGCCGGGAGAGAACAGGGCTGCATTTGGGTTAAGAGTAAAAGCGTGTGGTGATGTGGGAAAAAAGATGGGTGCATGTGGATTCAACATCACAGTTTATGATTTCTTTGGGAGGGGTGGGTTCTTGAACTTCCATTCTCGTGCTGTTACATGCTCGGGCCAGAACTCGTTTTTCAGAACATTTCTTTCGTCATGCTCAGCAACTGTCAGATGTGCGTACCTTGTAAATTACGATGGATCGACGACAGTCCACTACAGAAACAGCAGTGTGGAAATCTTATCAGTCTATCAAGGAGAGGCGTAACAAACACTCTCCGTATTTTCATGACCATCAGCTCTGTCACTCGGTGTGTCAGGCAGGACACATGTGTGAGCATTTCCAACGAACACCAGTGAAGGGTTGAACATCATGTACATGTATATGTCCATCTTCAGGCACCTGTTTTGAAACTGAGCGGCGCTAGTATAAGTATAACTCTAGATGCTGACGTTTAGCGTATTTGTTGTGAAATGAACTTGCAATTCCGTCACAAAACCAACATGACTTTGTACGTGTCGGTGTGTAAACCCAATACACCACACCACCACATTGCGCTCTTGCGCTCTTGGCCAGTGTGTAAACACTAAACAATACCGAGTGAGCTGAGCGAAACCGCATGGTCTCTTACATAGCAGATCTGGTGTCACTAGCTGGGCGCATGTTTGTCAAATCGAGTTGCTCACTGTCGAACAGTTGTTTGTTATTGCTGTTGGTGGCGGCGATGTGTTTGGCTAGGATAACAAATTGTCAGTCTTGCTTACTAGCGCACTGGTACTGAAGACAACTGGTTGCCCGTATCCAATTCCGACACACCAGCGCACCACCAGCGCACCACCAGCGCACCACCAGCGCACCACCCGCACACACACACACGCAGCTAAAATACATAGTAATCTCCTCTTTTGGGTGTGAACTTCCGCCCAGGGCATCAGATTCGTCCACCAACCACAGTTGTGGCTGCGTTAATGGTTAGCTACATGTGTGTTTTCTAACACACTTACTGGATAAAGTTCCATACAGCAAGAGTGATAATATCTTATCGTGTTTCTCCCGCCGCAACCCTGTGTCAGTGCCAGTGGACAATACTTTGTACTCATGAGGTTGGGGGCCCCGATGATGACGCGGCCACTGATGAAGAGAGGGAGGAAAATAATCGAATTCCGCTGAAGTGTCGAGCTCCGTTTTCAGAGCCTCTTGTAGGACGCTTTGTGTCAAGTGGGTTCTCTCAACCTCTCAGCGGGAGACAGGGGTTCAGCAACCGAAAACTACACCACTAGTCTACACATGTAAAGACAATGCGTGGCTTGAATCGCAGGGAGATTTCCTCCCCAAAAACACAATCTACATTAGTAACGTGAACAAGGTAGACGTGAGAGTGACGTGCCCAACACCAAAGTTGGAAACGGTGTTTTGAACCATAGACATCAGTACATGTAGTCCAGCCGTTTAGGATCCAGGAGCTTGTACATAGCGGATATTATTGTGTACAGGGTGGTGTTGAGCCTTATCCAGAGGGTCTTACAATTACCCTGATTGTTTCTAGACGTGATCTACAGCCCACAACAAGCACTACTCCTAACGTTAGTCGATCTTGTAGATGTATTGTAGAACATGATATGTATGACGATGGCACATGTTGTAGAACACGATCCGAATGACGAAGGCACATTGTACATGTATGATTGTAAAATAGGGACACACGACTGCACACCTTCTCGCGCTCCATAGGTGCGCAGTGTGTAGCACTTGTTACGGGAAGTGTTGCTCAGGCCTCTCGGCACCTCCGATGGTCTTCAGAAGGCAGAGGAACAAGTCGCCCTTGCGGCGTAACACAAACGATGAGAATGCACCGAGCGGGGCTTTCGCCGTCTCTTTTCCGCTTGAATAGGTCAGTTCTTCAGCACATCTGGCACCCCGGGATACGTAGAGGTCACCATCGCCATCACTCCCGCGGTCATCTTCAGTAGACTCCGCACCAGTTTGAGATACAATCACAAGAGTTGTCGGATACAATTAGAGGATCCTGAGCAGAAACCTACGTTCCCAACGTGATTGGTAAGCAGTTCCTGCTTTTAAAAAGTATAGAAGATCCCCTGCAGGGCGTTCACAAATATAGTGTCTTGGTCACTTGCACTTTGGAACAAACTGTACACGTAATGCTACACGTAATTATACCGCCATACAGCGGTATACGTGTCTGCCTGGACGTTCCACCTCTCCCTCGAACACGCACACATTTGCCACGAAACAAGTGCATGCATCCGGTGTGTTTATTTTGCCCTAACATAGGAAATGAGTAGGGATATGTTGTCATTGTTGTCTTGACGTTACGTCGAACACCAGAGTTTTGTATCAGTGCTGTGCGAAATGCAGGTGGAAAACTGACGTAATCATGGTAATTAGTGAGGGAGAAGGAGATGGAGCGGTAAGTTCGATACTGAGTACTGCCTTTAGAACATGTCATGTGATTCAGTAACACCGGTTGCATGTCGCTCATCATGGCGCCACATACAAGGATATGATAGAAGGGTATCGTCGGCACAAAGTCACACAAACACACAACGGACCCATTTTCTGACGTTCGAAGTTTCCTCTTTTTAGTTTGGACAGTGCCATTGTCTGGCAGCAGACACCCATCTCTGCTCTTAAGGTCACACGCCTGACCCAGATACTCACGACTAAGAAAGGCGTCAGATAATCAATGCGGCGTTACTAATCTGAAATTGCTTCAATCACATCATGATGCTGCCCTGGGAGCTTTACAAAGATAATCGTTGAGCTGAGTTTCAGTGCCTACACTAGAGCCTGAGGAATTTGTACTTCAGTGTACTTCAGTGTACCTCAGTGTACTTCAGTGTACTTCAGTGTACTTGTGGTGCTTGTGGTGCTTTAGTTGTGAATAGTTGTGTGAAACCATGTGTTTCTCTCATTAGCTACCAAAGTCAGCAGATTAGCTTTTGTTGTTGAGGAATGGCGGAATGCAGCGCGTACAGCCTGAGACAGCACGAGTGCAGCTCAGAGAGGCCTCTTTGCACCCTAAGTGCCTGCCGTTCTATCCTTTCACAAGACGAACATGACCGTTGTATGGAGCACATGTATCGCTCGGTATGGTCTTGGTGTGGCGAGTTCGAATAGTCACCAACACTGCCTAACGTCGTCGCACTGATCTCCAATCACCCTACTGTATGGGCAAGTCGACACACTCGTACTCATTATTGCTATCATTCCTATAGGAGGTCACCAAGCGCTACGATCATGGTCGACACTCACAGCCAGGCACAGTTTAGTGCGGTGTGAGTGTATCGGTCAAATACATTAAAACTATTTTAATCCTGTGAATATACAATGCACTATCATGTACTTCAGCTACATCGTGGCCTGATATAGTAAGCGACTTGGTCACGCAGTGTCCAATTTCGCAGTTCACTCCACGACCACGAAATCACCGCTGCTACTCAGTGGCGTTTCCGCCGAGGCTCCACAAGTTCTCCGTATCCCCTCCTCCACACAGGCATATGCATTCCTCAGTTCAGTTAGTTATGAGCCCGTTATGATCGCGATTGGCCGGGGTTTTAAAGGCGTATATACTCACTCTGGATATCGCCTGCCACTGGAACTCGTACGCGTCCACATTGCCCTGGATCGGTGAGGTCTGCCAGGTCCACTTGTTCTGATTCGCCTCGAAGTCCTTGCCGTGCTGGCCGTTATCCACCAGGTAGATTGGGTACTTCATTCCTGCACGCGGCAGCGGAAACACAGAGAGAGAGAGAGAGGAGAACATTAGCAACAGGCACACGGTCAGTACTCTGATTCGGAGAGCTCAGAGCCAAAGACTATCAATAGTAGTGGTCAAACGAATGCTGAGAAGCTTCGAACGTTCGTTCTCGAGTCGACATTCGAATGTCAAGTTGACCGCCCAAACGAATATCGTAACTCACAAAACTGTGAACTCTGCACTTGTAGCAGCGATTTTCATGCATGCAAGCACGTACACACGTCTACTTTTGAAGCCGTGCCGCGCTGTCTTCATGACCAGAGACTACGGTAGGTCTAGTCTGCGCAGTGAACTCTAGTCTTATCTGGGTTGAACGTCGTTGCATGCATGCGTGCACCGCGCCCGGCTGTGAAACTGGAAGTGCAGTGCCACAGGCGATTTTAGTCGTGACAACACTCGACGGTCTGTCTGAAATAATAACTATTGCTGAGAGCCGTCGTTGAGTCTTTCTTCATCAAATCCACCCAACGTTCGTCATGGCCGAGAAGAGTAGGCGCTCTGCCGTATGGGATTTTGGAATAGAGATAACGGCTGACAATATTATCTATATTCTCACGACAATATTGCTACGTGTACTCGGTGCAAGCCGCCGAAAGACTTGGCAGATCATGGCGGAACAACGAATTTACGTAACCATCTGAAGGACGTTCACCATGTCGACTTGGATGGCGCAGGGGCGATACCGAAAAAGGACGGAGGGATAACTGTCTTCTTCAAAACAAAGAAAGTGCCAGCGGCTAGATCCTCTGAGGCTCTGGATGCGACGACCGATAGGTGGAATTTGTGTGCAGAGATCTTCAGCCTGTGAGCGTAGTCACTGGTGCGGGGGTTCCTTTCGCTCATGAACTACCCCGAGCCTGGCTACCTGCGACTCAAGTGACAAAGCTAATTCAGCGGAAGCACGTCGCGGGCCTGAAGTTGCTGGTGCAGTGGTTAGGTGGAGAACCTTGAAAAGGCCAGCTCCATGGCGCTGACTACAGACCTGTGGACAAGCAGACGAACGGAGGGGTACATTACCATCACTGTCCACTTCATAAAATTTAATGAGTCATGGCATCTACAGTCTCTGTTGCAGACTTGCAGTGTGCAACTTCACTTATGATTTGGGTGCCTTTTACAAAGGTTTTAGTGTTACATACTGGTTGGTAGCTATAATTTCTTACTGATTTCTTAATCATGGAACGGGCGACATTCGTTCGGTATTCGTTAGGAACATTCAGAGAAGGTTCGATTCGCTGTTTAGCACATTCGTTTGACCACTAATCAATAGTACTAGTCTTGCACCACGAGGAAATATCCTCCCTGGGAGCCCATGTACTTTTGTTTGTACGTGTAACACTGACCCAACTGTACGTGCATAAGACCAACAAAAGTGCTTTACGCCGAGTGCTCAAGTGCGGATCAGCCGATAACTTTAGGGAACCAGCATGATTAGATCCTGTTCTCCTCGGAAATGTTGACTTGGGGGCTGTCGTGGTCCAGGTAGTGGCACATTTCCTCACATGCAGTTCGTGACCCCAGGGCAAAGCGACAAAGTGCAGCTGACTGCACTGTTGGGGAGCACGGGCGCCAGCCAGCATGGCCAAGATCCAGCGATTGCTGCTAACTCGCACCGCCAAAGCCATTACGAGAATTGCAGGTAGATGCTGGTCAATGAGGTCGAGGACGATGTTCAAGTATTTAGAGAAGGACAGGGGAAACAAAGCTATGGTAGTGCAGGAAACGGTCAACTTCAGTCAATACGATAATGTCACGCACATCTACATGAAAGGTTAATAACACGTGATGCTAGGTCTCCAGGCTAGCGACTGGCAACTACTTGCACTGTCTTGTTCTACATTATTCTCTACTACAATTGTATTCCGAAATAGCTCTCCAACCCAGCGTAACACTAGCAATATGCCCTGGAGATGTAGACTGCGGCCAGCTGGCTAGCAGCCCAGGTCAAATTGACAAGGACTGTTTGCACACAGACAGTGACTGCCTAATCGTCGCGGAAAGGAGGTTAGATTGGTGATACGCGAAATTCTTCGCACTTCTTCCAAGGTGGAGCGAACGGCCAAAGGAACTCCAAGCTTTTGAAGTACATGTACATGTAAAAGGGTTGTAATTTCTGTTACAACCTTGGACCCTGTGGACACTCAGGATTTCTAGGGAATAGCACTCAGCTAGCTATGGTTCAGCTACTCCAGATGGCAGCGTGGTATGGCTGCTGGCTAGACAAACACACTATACAGACTTACAGTATACCATGCAGTAGGACCCAGTCATGATGTACATGTAGTCGTATTTCAAGCGCACACACATACACACATGTACATACACACACGATCCCGCGCGCATATTGGCACAGACACCCGTTGTATCGCAGGCTACCTGCAACGGCTACATCCACCTACATGTAAAGGATGTGACCTACATGTACACGTACATGATTGTAACCTATTGCACTGCTAATGCCGTAATGGCCACACAAAACACACCTGTCACGCTTTGTGATGTTCACATCTTGTCAATGTTCAAGTACAGCAGTAACGTTACACACGCACCAACATGCTTGGGTACACAGCAGGCAACATCTTCGCACTTTTCACTTACCTAGCTTTCGCTGAAGGTCATTTCCCTCCTTCAGCCAGAGCGAGAATTTCCGTCTCTTGGTGGCACACTGAGTCTGGCATGCTAGCAGCAGGATGATGAGAAACGTCCGAAGCATGTCAGCCATGTTGGGTAAGGAGAAATGATGGTGGCGATGTCCCGATGGGTCGTCTGCCAATGCCGACCGTCCACTGGCTCCTCGACATGATGTACATGACTCCATTACTAGTAGTAGCAGCACGAACGGTGAGGTCCCCAGATAACCTCACTCACAATACTCCACTGCAGACAATGCTGCCTGCACAGCTAGCAACACTGGTTGTACAGTGTGTATTTGGTAACCACGACGGACCAGCTTATGCGGTGGGCTCAATGAACAGATGAGGATGACGGCCTAGCAGCAAGACAGCATCCAAGAGAATTCCGAGATACTCTGTCAACAGCTCTCCACTTCAGTTTCTATAGTATGACTACCTGAACTTGAAGTTACAATAACCTATACTAGAAGTCTGCCAGTCATACAGGAACACATAGAGGAGGGGGGCTCGTACTTCCCCTTCAGTCGTATCCTATCACTGCATCACTGTGTGGATGGTCTAAAGTGAAAGTCCTGCCGTGAGAAAGTGACAATGTGCACATTGATTATGCACGAATCAGTCACGTCAAGCATCAGCGCTGTAAGTAATTAGTTTGGTAATAATTCAGCAATCGACAAAGTGACTCCGCGGTTCCCCAGAGACAAATGGGCTTATGAAGCGCTGAAAAGTGTCTCTATAAATCCCCCCGTCCGTCCAGCCCAAGACTGAGAATACTTTTGTCAAAGTATGCAGCAGCCACGACCTTTCCTCGATATGGCATGCAGCATATCCGCCCGGAGAATTTCCTCTCGAACGCCACTTCCCATCCAGGCCAGGGTCTAACGGTTCGTCATCGTAGAAGCACCGCCGCTCGTGTAGGTCTACTCGAAGCCATACGCAGGTGTTCAGCGTAAAAGTTAAAACGCTGCTACAAGTAGAGCTGCAACACTGCAGGCGGTCGCCCGATATGAGGCGGACATCGCGTGCGAACACTGTGTCTGTGTCATGGGGGTCATGAATCGGACGCGCACGCGACGCGCTGCATTTTCAGCCGCGGCCTCGGCCCCTGCATGCACTATACCGAAGACGGTCAATGCAATGCGAACAAAGCGCAGGTCGTGGTACTGGTAGGCGGGCTGACCATTCCGACTACACGCAGACACGGGACAAGTCGCTCGCAAAATGACGGACTCGACTAGCAATGGCATGGACTGCAGTGAAAATGTGTGCTCAACTACTTTGTCAGGCCGATTGACACGTTTACCATGAGAGCCAGGAGCGAGAGAGTGACCTTCAGTGCCTTTTCCGCAAGCAGCAATACTTGGTCCATCTGCTGTCCTAAGTTTTGGCCTGAGACTGGCAGCTCTCACTCTCACGACCGGAGTAGGGGCAAAACTGGTGAATAACTGTAAGAATACAGACTCTGACCTTAACCACCTACCTGACTTCAACTAAGCCAGGATCATCCTAAGAATGCAGGATACAGTGGAGTAGTGCCAGTGCATGTACACCACAGGCCCAGGCCCAGCACCACTACAATTAAAATAGCCTCTAAGACCAATGCTCTGACTGACTACTATGCGTTCTGTGAAAACATGCACTGTAGATCCACATGCAGACTGAATACTTCTACACAATCATGTACTTGTAAGGTAATCTAGAGTGATATGCCCTATCCAACACTGTACCATACATAGCACAATACATAGCACATGGCACATACTGCCACACTAGTGGCAAGTACTTTAATCCTAAGGATCACCGGTGTGTTGACCAGGTTCGGCCGCCTTTATACTGCCGCGAGCCCCACATGACTTTAATACCTCACTTCCTCACCTACACCCCATCAGCACAATACTGCTCCGCTGCTAGAGTTGCCAGTGAATCGCTCAACAACTAAGCGTGCTGCTCAGCTAATGTATTGACTGGGAAAGAAGTGCTCTTTACCTTGTGGGACTGGGCTTGGTCGGTTGGCTTGCCTCGCCTTCTCCTTCTCGACCGCACAGCTGATTTCTGCCAATACTGGCTGCGCTTCAGGCTTTTCCTGGCGTCTGCGTGGGTCCAACAGTGCGTCTGAGTGCATCCAGGCCAATGAAGGGTGTTTTATAAATCCTGGCCAGGGTGTACATCTACATGTCAGGAGAGGATCACGAGAATGAGATGCAACAGTAAAAACTAGTCCCAGCGCAGCTGCTGCTGGATCGCAGCAGTAGACACAACGGCACAGCGGGTGTCCGTCACTCCGTTTGCTGCTTTCTGAAACGATCTGAGCCATGTTTTTTCTAATCTAGTCAGCACCAGCGTGCGTATGTGCGTGAGAGAGAGGTAGAGAGAGGGCGAATTGTGTGTCGGCTGAACGATGAACGTCACCAAGGAACAGGCTAAGCTCGCCTATACGGAACAGTACAACCTGATGGGTGAACACTGCATGGTTGTATAGTTACTGCATGTACCGTGGAGCGCTCGGGGCTAATGTATTATGTACCTGACTGCGTATTCTAGCCAAACCTAGCTGGGAAGCTGGCAATCCGCGGTGGTCCCCGCATTTTGTCAGAGCTGAAAAATCTTGCCTTGGCCGAATTTGACGGGTCTCGCTGACTGCTACATGCCTTTCATGAGCGTCGGCAAACACTAATCATGTCCATTTCGGACAAGAATGCATTTCATGTTCGGACTTTGAGCTCAAATCGAGCATAGTTGTAGTCCGAGAATGACTCGGAGTTTGAAGCGTTGACAGTAAATTTTACATCGGCATGTCATGGAACCTAGCACAACTGACAGCTACCTGAAAGAGAGAATTCCGACGGGGACTGCTAGTCGGGCATAACGCAGACCATAGCAGATGCTGCAGCCAAGAAAAAAGACAAAAACCTATCAGTGTACTCGCTGTGGAATTTTCGCCGGAGGAGCAGATGCATCCACCACCAATCACAGTACAAAGTCATTGTTATGCTTGGTATTCTTTGGCTCAATACACCGAGGGCGTGTAAACACTTTGAGTTCAGCAATAATGATTGTGAACCAACGGAACTTCCTACTCACATATTAACCTCAGGATCTGCAACTTGTTAACTCTTACATGCATGTCCTTTGTGCTAATAGTTGTATTCCTGAAGGCTAAGTCGCCTGATCAACTTAACATTCAATCCCTATAGTATACCCCCCCCCCCCCTCTCTCCCTGCGCGCCATAGTTTAAGTTTTGGTTCACTTACTAGTAACGAAACCTGGTCATAAGAGTCTAATTCTGTCAAGACGTGTGAAGTGTATTCTATGCTCAAAAGGTCATGGCTGAATCGTGTCGAGCCCGTGATGGGGCTAATTCAGTTTGGTTGTTTGTCGTCTTCTCTTGATTGGAAAAGGAAAGGTCTCAGGCAGTCTCCGTTTAGATCCGACAAGATCTCGCCTGTACTGATTTGATGATGTAGTTCATTCCCCGACCTTGTAGTCAGTGACATCAGCAAAGGCATGGCGACAAAGTCGGTCGATCATTGTGCTACAAGGCGGGTAACCCGTGGCCAAGGAACTACGAAGTTCCTAGTCGCACTTGTGTGTACGAGGTGTGCATCGTTAGGAGCGGCTCAAGGTTGCCACTAGACGACCAATGATCTACTGGTTCGTGGTGAGCGCGGCGAGTTTTCAACAGAGCTCGGCGCTCCTCACACGTCTGCCACAGTCAATCAGGATGAATAAAATGGACTACAAAAAGTAGTAGGGTCTACCCAGCAGGACTCACCCGCATACCAGTAACGAGAAAACCCTCCACAAAGTATCAAAAACGTTAGCACCGGTGGCGCAGAACGAGCTGAAATATACTAGTACAGTAGTAGCATTACGAACGTTTCATGCTGCTAGTCTCATACAGTAGCACTTTCCATGCATGAAGGAAGCTACAATGCCAATAGCCGAGGATCGGGCCTTCGAACGTACCTTTGCCAGCACGTACAATGTACAATGTACTGGGCTATGTTGGGCTATGTTTGTTTGGGCATGTGATTGTTCGGGGCATCCTCTGCTAATGGGTATAATGATCAAAGGTAGGGGTTGAAGTACCGGAAAAACTGGGCTCGAATACCATGGTACCATCTAGCACACACCTCCTGCGGTTCTCTGATCAATCATCCATCCCCTGGGTTCAACAAGCTGTGTGATCGAGTTGGTACTCTGGATCCGACAAGATCTGGGATGTCTGTCTTGGTTCACTAGCCATGCACGAGGTGATACGTGGCAGTGGATCGCTAGAGACTGCCCCTTTCGACGAAGTGTACGGCTCGGTTCGGGATTGTGGTACAGTACAGTACAGTACAGTACAGTACAGAGTTGAGTGGAGGTTGTAACATAACAACCATTACACAACCTGTGAAAACGTAAAGTCACTCGCACTCGCACATAAGCATAGCCTATAGGCATGGACGTGTAGGGTGTACAGTTAGTACTTAGTACTTTACTACACAGTCATGTACATAATTCTACATTCTACAACGTATGACACTGCCCTTTGGCATTAGCATTGCTTTCTTCGTGGCTTTGACAGGCACACTGAGCCTGCACATCATGGGGTTCGTGAGAGCGGTGTCAGCGAGAGCTCCGACGGAGGCAACTCGTGGCCGCCTTCGAAAGGGAACTGAGTCAAGGAAAGAGGTCAGCGAGCGTCATGCATTCAACTGACATGACATGTCGCCAATCTGGCTGGAGACTTACCCTCCTGCTCTTACTCAATGCAAAATAACATGATCTATAGTTTCCGTACAATTGTGCCTGGGAAACATGTCCCATCTTCAGCCAAGGGCTGGCTTTCAGGTAAATTCCACAGCCGCTTCTGTTGCTGCAACATCCCATAACAAGCACCAAATCGGGTTTATCTGCTAGCATACAAGATTGTCCGTCACGCTCAGACATGACGGTGCAAAGTTTAAAAAATAGTTCCATCACAGTACACAGTACAGGGTACGATGTTGGAACGCTGATCAACTAACTTAAAGTGGTCGTGCTGTTATCCTGTACGACGCGTTGGAAAGCAGTCAGTGAAAATGGATGAAGTTCAATATTGCTGGTACATGTGTGATCGGTTCGGTGAGATTGAAGGAGATACAGTCATGATGTAAATTGCCAATGGAATACGCACATCTACATCTAGATCGGCAGTGTTCGATGATGCAGAGCCAAGTTGTACAATCCTGCCGAAAATTCTTCAAACCACTGTGTGCCACAGGAGTCGACACCATTCCACATGCATTCGGCTAGCACTTGTATCCGCTAATCAGAAGTCCCCTTTCCCCGGCCTGTTGTATGGTGCAGGTCAAGACCTAAAGTCAGCCGGAGTGGTATCCGATACACTGTGGCTGACTTAGCACCTTGAGGGTGCGTTGAGTTATGACCATTCCCACACCACTCACCAGTGACACCACCAACATCTCGGACTGTTAGTGTCCTCTTCACCACTGTATACACTCTTCGCCAAGGCACACCCCTCGGACATGGATCTCGATATTGTTTGTGCTTGCAAGTTAGTTGAAGTAAATGCTTGACCATGGTGTCTAGATCAACAGGGTATAGACTACATCCGATGTTATCCACAAGCAGAGTTGTTTGATACTCCTCCACCTTTGCCGTTGGCTATCTGTCCCCTATTGACGTGTTTGTCTGCAGTATGCAAGCCCTTATCACTGTATCAGCCCCAAGCACACCAATCAACATTATAGGGTACATGTATATCACGTGACTGGTGGAATAAGACATCTTTGCAGCCTCCTTGAGTTGGTGGGAATCAGCAGTACAGACCTGAACATGTACAGCGAACACAATACATGTACATGTAATAAGTATCACTACACTGCATTTTGTAGCAGGTTTGGTGTGCACTTCTCGTACAAGTACCCATGCTTGGGTCTGCATTCTGCAATCATCCAGTAGAAGGAGTGAAGTCCAGGCTCATGATATGCAGGTTGTACATGTATGACATACATGTACATGACTGTACACTAGTGTACTACTACTAGTACTAGTACTAGTACTAGTACTAGTACTAGTGTACAGTCATGTACATGTATGACATACATGTACATGACTGTACACTAGTGTACTAGTAGTAGACCACAAACACTCGGAATATTGTACTGTAAGTCCGTATTAATTTTTGTGTTCGTGCAGTATAGTTATGATGTAGAGTAACCGTCAATGGCAGGACTGGAGGATGCCGTATACACGACTGTATGTGTTAGCTGCTGATTTGACCTGGGTCCTAGGCTGGGACTCTCAGTCTCGCGGAAGCACAATCTGCACCTTCACCTGGGAGGTGGTGACTGTGAGAACAGGCACACGTTCACGTTCAGTGTATGACTGTAATAATTGTGCTCCCTGATTTTACCAACCACATCACAACATGGAGTCTGCCAACAAACAAAATGCTTACACACTGCACTCCTGCACTCCTGCACGTGTGCATCTAAATAGTATAATGACTACCCAAACTTGAAAGAGGGAAACAAAGAGTTTTTGCTGTGACCATGGTGACTCTCAGTCTCGCGGTTTTACGGATCAGCAGACAGGAGCTGACTACAATTTTCTGAAGATGTGATCAAGAGTACTAGTAGTCATGTAAGCTCCCAGGCCAGGGAGCTTATGTACTCTTGATGGGGCAGCAAGCTTGGGTAATATAGCGCGAGTGAATGATATGGGCCACTAGTGCGATGTACATGTACGTGCGAGTAAGTTGGGTGGGGTGATATAAAACAGGCGCAAAACAATGACTATGTGACTACCCGTTATGTGTTCATGACTATGTGACTACCCGGTATGTGTTCATGACTATGTATGTACTGTAGCTATCTATGTGTTTGATACTGTAGTACATGTACAATTATTGGTACAACAAGTGAACTACTACAACATGTCACTGATGTGCATGTGTATGTTGTAAGGAGAGTGGTGGTTGTGACTGCGACTAGCATCTAGTGTTCCAAAGGCAAGTTTTGCAATGGAAGCCATCGAGTGCCCGCCATAGGCCATGTCGTTATTGAATCAAATTTGCACATGTATTATGTTTAGTGGACGTGCTGTGAAAACCAAGGATACCGCACAATTAGCGTCTCTTGTGAGAACTCTCTCAATCTGGTGTCCTGTTGTTCTTCTACTTCCGTAGGAACGCGTGCGTGCTGTCATTGATCATCACCCCCCCCCCCCTCCCGCCATGTATTATTCTTTTATTCCAAGATGGCGTGACGCCAATAAGGATGATTGATAAGTGCGATAGAACTGGTACTACTAGCCAGAAACAGCTAGATGGAAATTAACCGGGGAGGCAAGAAGCAATGGATCATGAAAAACAAGCGG